ATACAGATAGCTCTTTAGAAACATTGTCACATGAAATAGCTATTGATACATCTCCGGTAGAAAAATCATCTATGGAATCTCAAACACATACGTCAAACCTAACAGATCTATCGAGATTTCCACATTATCTTAAAGATTTGGTTTCATCATTAAAAACTATCAAACAAAAAACTCTGAATCCTCCACCAATATCCATTATACATCGTCTTTTGGAAGTATCTTTTACAACTGCACCAGAGCCTGTAAATTCAGAATCTCCAAAATATTATACACCATCTGAACCATGTTCGGTTCCACCATATTATCCACAAGTACCTCCTGCAATATTTGATTCTCCAGAATTATTTGAAAAAATTGATATCGACGCATTATTTTTTGTTTTTTACTATCAACAAGGAACATATCAACAGTAAGTTTATTTTAATTATTAAATAAATGCAACATACTTATAATATTAAAAGATATTTAGCAGCAAAAGAATTAAAAAAGCAAGCATGGAGGTTTCATAAAAAGTATCTTACATGGTTTCAAAGACATGAAGAACCAAAAATAATTACAGACGAATATGAGTCAGGAACCTATAGGTATTTTGATTTTGAGGTAAACCTAAAACAATAAAATGTAATAACTAATATAAAAAACATAGGGCGCATGGGTACAACGGAAAAAGGTAATATTACAAGTCTTTATGTAATTATTAATTATTATACAGCCAGATTTTAAATTCCAATATGTATATCTTGAAGATGAAGATTAATATATTAAATATTAGCAACTATTTCAATATTTTTCATACATTTAAAGTTAAATCATAATACTATTTTTCCCAAAAAAAATTTATAAAATTCCAATTACAAAATTAAAAAGATTGAAACGCGTCAGAATATACCAACTGCTTGCTTTAATGGTGCTTGCCCAAATAAGCTAGAGCTCATCGAGATCTTTTTTTTTTCCGCTTTTTCAAAAGAAAAAATCAAAAATCAAAAAAAGATACCAATCCTCCAAAAAAAGCAGAGGTACTACTACTCATCATCCACGTTAAGCTTTATGGCACGATTAAAAACTCTAAACTAGATATATACTATTTACATGATCCTGTAGAGTTCTAAATAATAATTAACAAATTTAAAATACATCTTTTAAAAGTGTCTTACGGTCGTTAATTTTTCATCGTATCTTTTCTGACCTTAAATACTAAATCATGATCGGAGCTTAAAAAAATATCCAGTACTTTATTAGAAATATTAATAAAAATGTAGCTATTTATTAAAATCTATTTAAGTACATATCTATATTTATATAGATATGTATTTTAATTAACTTTGATATGTTTTACGAGTAATTAGTATTTAGAAAATGAATAATGTACATAAATTATTTTTATTTTTTTCTTAAAATTAATGATATCAACTCTTTAAATATGTAATTATTATAAAAAATTAAATAAATAAGCTTTAAAAAAAACTATTTTTTTTCTAATATATAAAATTGTTTAATATAAACTCATTTTAGAATATCAGAGAACTATATCATTTATTATGTTAGCTGGAACATCCTTATCCGAAAAATCTTTTGAATCCAGATAACAAAATTAAGTTCTTTAAAGTCGATGAACATTATTTATGATTATCTAAAAAGTCTTATCAGTAAAGTAGATATCATATTTATTGATTTTTTTAGAAAATCTGATGATATAGATTTATAATTACTACTATTAAAAAATTTAGAATCGTTATCTATACTATTTATAAATGAATAATTTTTGTTTTTTTTTTTATCATTATTAATTGTTTCAAGATACCCTTTTTGAGATCTGGTTCCTAAAAATCATTACAATTAAACAATTCACCTTTTTTTATCATATAAAAAATGCATTATTTATATGTTTGAACCATAAAATGAGTAATATTTTGAAAAAAATGTTTAAAACATTGAAAATTAAGAATATATTTATAATATATCTTAATATATTTTGCAACAATTTGTAAAACATGAAAAATATTCATATTTAAATCAAAAAACAATTTATCAGACATTCCTTAATTCCAAAATATTTTGAATGATTTTAAACAAACTCGTCCACCTTTTTTTCAGTACTTAATAGCCTCTATAAAAACCTATTCTTTTCCATAAAATTTATATAAATCTACAATAATTAATATAATACATAATTAATAACCGCACAAAACATTCCTGATTTTAATAATATATTAATTCCTTTTAATAATCTTATTTTTATAATCTTAATTTTATTCAATTAACTTTTAAAGTGAACTTCGTACCAATAAACTAACCTTTTTAGATCATCACATTGAATAAAAAAATATACATTTATAATTTGAATGTTCTTAATAATTAATTTAATTCCTATATTATTTCATATATATCTTAATTATTATATTTTATATAAATCTCCAATTTTTTTACTATAGAATAAAACATAACCTTATTATATAGTAGATATAATTTGAATTAAAAAAACAAATTTTTAATCACGAATATTTTAAAACGAATTTTAGATTTTCTTTTTTTTTTAGATAAAGCTAAAAATAGATTCTAAATTGTTTATGACAATAAGATATGACGATACTTTTGAAGTCCTTTCCTCTAGTGAGTTTAAACGTAGAAATACACTTTTGAAAAAAAAAAACAATATGAAATCATCAAATACAAAATATTTCTTGTTAAAAACCAACTTTCACATATTCTTTCGACAAAAGTTATAATTAATATTTCTTAATTATTCAGTATAAATATTATTATATCCAATACGCAGATATCCTTCTATGTTTTAAACATATTTAATATTTTAATATTAGTTTAATTAGATAAAAATTTTGATTTATAAAGTTTTATTTTTTGTTTTTGCCAAATAATATTGCCTATATAACGTTTTTAAGGAACCTCTTTCTTTATATACACTACTTTAATGTTAATAAATATTAAAATAAAATACAATTTCTACCATATAAAAAGTAATGAACCCGCAATTACCATACTAATTAACATGTCCGGTATTGTAACAATAGAATGTGTTTTTAATCGTATAAAATAGCCTATAAGAATAGAATAAAAAAAAACAGTTTTTGAAGGAAAAATTAATGAAATTACTAAGCCTTCAAAATAGTGATAAATATAAACAAAACACCAGATAGCTCTTGCACTAAGATTAATTATATTAATGAAAATTATCCCATTCACGCCCAATTTAAAATAGTTTAAAAAAAAGCATCCCATAAACATAAGTAATCCAGAAAAAAAAAACATCCAATAACTTTGCGCTTTAATATCATTTGATGTAGCAACAGCTTGTACAAATGCCTCTGTTATTCCATTTATAGCCATTATAGGAATATAAAGAATATATAATTTCAAAACAGACGGTGCATATGTTTTGCTCCATTTCGAACCTGCAACTACCTTTATAAAAGCTACACAATATAATGGACCAAATGTTACAATAAATATCCCAAAAATTATGTATAGTTTTATAACGATAAATAATATACTCTGAGCCAACAAATAACTATCTTTATCTTTTCTTAAACAGAGTTTTGAAAAAAGATTCCTCGATAATTCTTCAATTGGATTAAATATTAATCTTGCAATAAGAGATCCTAGAAATATTAAAAATAAATTAAAAAATAAAAACACAAAACCATAATTTGCAACTAATGCATAAACTCCTTGATCAAAATCCGTCATGTACCATGTTACAAGAATTCGATCTCCTTCTGTTAAGATATATTTAAACAATGATTGAGCAGTTATAGTAATTGCTAATATTAAAGTGGGCCGATGAAAAAGATATACCCTTATAAAAACGTTAGTAAATAAAAAAATAATAAATTTTATAAAATATACCTTCTATCATATGGGGAATAGATTTTCTTCGGAAAAAAACATAAATTTTTTTGTAAGTGATTTAACAGTAAAATGAAATAGCTTAAAAATAATATTATACTATATCCTAATCGTCCTAAAGCAAATGGAAGTGCACCATAGTTTTCAATACCACCATTCAAACTACACCAATATGCTAATATAAATGTTATGAAGCATTTTAGAAATATTGCAAAGGCCTCAGAAATAGCTCTAATTTTATATAAAAAATTTTGTTGTGCAAGAATAAATAAAGGTTCGACAAAAATCTCAATTATTGCAGAAAATGCATATAAAAAAAGAGTTCCTTTAAAAATAGGCTGTTTTTTTGTAGAATCATTAGCAAGCCATGTGTAAGAAAAAAAAACTAATATAGAAAGTAGAATACTAATAGGAATTGGAATATAGGCCAAGTTAACTAATCCTTGATTTATAACACTTTGATAATCATCTTTAATAAACTTTTTTTCATTGTTCACAATTTCTTTCCCTTTGTTCTGTTTTAAAATATCATGACGTTGTAAAGCCACTCTAAAACCCTCGCGAGATAAAAAAAGAATAGCAGAAATTACTAATTCCATTTGAACCATTTCAAGCCCAAATACTTCAGGTGTCACTATCCTAAGAATTAATTGATTCAAAATAAATGTAATTAATCTAGAAAAAAGTTGCAAACTAATAAGATATGATATGTTGGTAATGGGGTTAACTAAAAAATCTGGAGCAAATTGGGACTTATTCTCAATAGCATCCATTTAATATATTCTTTAATATTTCTTTTTCTTATAACCTTAAACCCATTATCTTTAAAACTTATATAATCAACACTTCGATAAAAAGCTCATGATTTAAAATGATTATACAAAAAAAAATATTCTAATAATAAAATAAAATAGCATATCAAAATTAAAGTGTCTAAATACTATAGCCCAAAAACCTGATAATAAAATTTCTACTTTAATATACAACATTTAAGAAGCATATGTTTAAGTTATAAAGACGGTGTCATCCATAATATCAAAAGTAAAATCCCATATATCATTATCTAACAAAAACTGCTTTCAAAAAAAAACAATATTGATTATTTATAATTTTGTTTCATCATAAAAATTGAAAAGTTAAAAGTGAAAATTACTTAGATCAAATTATATGTTGGAGACATTATCGGTATTAGAAAGTAGTCGTTTAACTTCTGTTCCCAGTAAAGTTTGTTTTAAAGAAACATACTCTGGATCTGAGCGCTGAGCTAACATCTTTGAACTATCTGATAAAGTTAAAACAGGTAAAGAAGTCTCGCAGTAATCCACATTAACAAGATCTGCGTAAGAAACAAAACTAAGTGAAGTTTCTCTAGTATATAAAGAAGATGTATAAGATGTTAAAGAGTCTTTTGGTTGAAATGTATCAGATGAAAGTGCAGGAGAACATAAACGTTTTATACTAACAATTTCGATATTGTCCATGTCAGTAGAATCATTTAAAATCTCCATACTAGCATCTAATACAGTAGGTACATGATTATCCACTAAAAAATATAAAAAAATTAAAAAAAAAAAAATAAAATTATTTATACCCATGCGCTGCTGGTGAGTAGAATCTATTAAATTTATTTTATAAACGGACGGCGTAAACGAAATAGAAGTTGATGGAGAAGCTAAAGATGAATAGTCTACTGATCGTTCAAAAACATGTGACTTGTCAAAAATAGAACTATTAGGTGAAGCATGCTGAATATTTTTATAAATATGAGAAGGTGAGCGTATTGATGTTGAATAAATAGTTGTATCAACATTGATTTTTGGAATACTCGCATTTTTTATATCTTCATCTGATTTTGGAGTTCTTGAAAGCATTTCTTCCTTTTTATTTTGACAAATACGTTTAAAAAATGATTTTTTTTTTATCTCATATGAACATGTAGACAATGACTCTGCTAGTGGTAATTTTTCTGTTTCCAAACTGTTTATTTTGTTATCTATTTTTCTAGAGCCTTTCTCTAAATCACTTGAAGCATTATCTATATTTTTAATTAATTCTAAGTTAAATTTTAACACAACATACCGTCCGGCTTTGATCCAGGTATTTTTTTACTCTTTTTTTTCCCCCAAAAAGTCATAAAACTATTTCTTTAATTTCAATATCTGTTTAAAAAAAAATAAAGGAAGATATCTACTTCTTTTTATATATTTTTTTAAATGTATTTCATTGATTTGTATACCGGGTAAACGGTCAAGTTAATATTTTCGAGAAGTCTAAGACAACAGTTTATAAATAATAAAATTTAAATGTATATTTTTTTGAAAAATAAAGTATTCTACAAAAAGGAATAGTTTTTTAATTGAAATATACATAATATTAAAACTAAAATATTAAAGTATATTTTTCAATTTATTAAATATAAAAAAAGATAAAGATTTATTTCATTGATTCTACTTAACGGAATAAAATTCAATAATGTTTATTAAAATTTCTATTTTTCATGGTTTAAAAGCAGACTATAAACTTATATAAATTATTTCGATATTTGAAACTATTTTTTAAAATAAATGTTTTATATTATTTTTTTAAATAATATTCTGAATTATTAAATTTTTAATTTTTTAATAATTTTTCAAAAAAACCTTTTATATTTTTTATAATTTTCAATTATGTATTTACAATAAATTAGATTAATTTTTTATATTCTTTCAAAAGATTTTCATAGATAAATTTTTAAAACATCATACATTTCGCCTAAAATCTCAAAACTATTAGAGTTAATTTAGAAGAAAAACTTTTATAATTAGCATATAGTAGAAAATTATATCTATTTATGTTAAATTTCATATTAAACTATGAAATTGTTTAATAGAAAAATATGAATAAAAATACAATGTTAAAAATTTATCTTTATTCAAAATAGATATTTTTAGAAATTATCTTAATATATTATTCTTCTAAATTCAATAAAACGGTAGAAAACAGTAGATTTAAATTAGTTTAATATAAATAAATATCTAAAAAAATATATAATCTCTACAAAAACATTTAATAACATTTTTAAGCATAAATCAAAACGGTCGATTTTCTTTGACATGAAATATCATACTTTGAAATAAATTAACTTATAACATATTAAATGCCCAATTCACACAAAAAAACATTAAAAAGATTGTAATATTTTAAACATAGAAAATATTTAAATAATTCTTATAAATACATAGAATTTTAAAATTTTTATCGAAGTTTAAATTTTAAAGAAAACAAACAATGCGTGCTGTTATACAAAGAGTGACTAGTGCAAACGTTACTGGTATTGTTAATATCTTCCTTATAAATATTTAAATGCCTATATAATAAATAGTAAATAGTCAAAAAATTTCATCTATATCTCAAGGGTACTTATTATAATTATAAAAAAATGATTAGATTTATGAAATTTTACTGAAATAGTTTGGTTGTGTTTATTGGCATAAATAAAGGTGGATATAAATGTTTACTATAATATTAGCAATTTTAAGGAAATAGATGATACAATCATGGATGTAGACAATCTTGTTAAAACGATTGCAAAATTAAGAATATTTGATGAATTAAAAGACGGCGAACAGTATTCTCCAATAGCATACTTTTTAAATGATTTATTGGAAAATAGAAAAAGATGGCGTCAAACTATTAAAGATATCCAAGGAGAAATTTTATGTAGTAAATAACATTACAAATCATCTTAAACATTCTTAACATTTTTTTGAGTATCTCAATTTACATTACAAGCTAAATTAAAAAAATCAAAACCTGATTTTCATACAGCAGCAAAAGGTATATTACTATTTTAATCATCCAAAACATTAATTTTTAAACAATCTACAAGGACCAGAGGCAAAAATTTTATATACAGAAATATTAAATGGATTACAAAAAATATTAGGTGAAGATAAAATTAAAGATGGCGTTTTTGGTGCAATGATGAAAGTTCATCTAGTAAATGATGTAAGATTTACATATAATAAAATTTACTTATAATCTAAAATAGGGTCCCGTAACAATAAACTATGATACACGATTATAATATCTTTTTTCATATATTTATACAACCTACTTATTTTTTCTTATATATTTTTAACTTTTACTATCTCTATCATAAATATTAATTCAAACTATGCATTTAAGCATTTTTTATATATAATATGTTTTTTTGTTATAAATTTTTTATTTATTTTTATATAATTGTTTTTTTATCAATTCCCTCATTATTTTAACGGATCTTGATGTTAAAAAGTTATCAAAAAGCATAAAAAATCGATTACAATAAGGTCTTAACGGGGGCTATATATTCAAGGAAAATCCGAAAGTTTATGGTGAGTGAAGATATTCCCATAGAAAGCACGAATCCTTTTTCTCCGGCATATACGTACTATACACAAGAGACAGATGAAACAGTCAAAGCAACTATCCGAAGAAATAGAACACTTTCCACGGTATTATATTAAAGAGATTAAGGAAGATATTAATAAAATATAAGGCGCAGACCTATCTAAATATTTTGCCACCAACTAATTATAATCCTTCAATTCGTCGGAGAGCATCCCATGGTTTGTTTACAAGTTTTTTTAAGAGAAAAACCGATACAAATAGATGAAAATAATGCGGTACCTAGAAGGTTTTTAATAGACGTTGAGAATACGATGGAAGTTCTGTTAAAAAATGAGGGTAGCTTTATAAAATATTTATATTGTTGATATAAATATTAAGCAGATACTGATGGTAATATGCAAATAACTATAGAAGATTCTGGACCCAAGGTTTTAACACTTGGGACGGTTAATTCTAGTGGAATTAATCATTTTGATATTCGGGGGACATATATGCTTTCAAATTTACTTCAAGAGCTGACTTTAGCAAAAGACTATGGCCGATCTTACGTATTATTAGACGAAAGAAGATTAAATGAGAATCCAGTATCTAGACTATCAAGGCTTATTCGCGAGACCTTTTGGGATGATTTAACTCGTAGAATTGATTCTAGTATGCTGGAAATTGTCTGTATGGATACGAAAAGTTTGGGATCTAAAGTTCCACGTATATATGTTCCTCATACAGAAAAAGATATTTATGAATATTATGTTTTAGCCTCTAAAGCAAAACCTCATCTTGGTCTAGTGGTAGAATATTTGCCGCCAGTGATTACAGAGGAATGGGTGAGAAATAGTAATGAAAAACCTGGTCTTTTAGCTTTAGCAATGGAAAAGTATATCAACAGCAATGGAGTAGAAGATTTAAGAGGAGTCCCCTTTATAGTTCCCGGCGGAAGGTTTAACGAAATGTATGGTATGATGTAGTTACATTTTTATTGCCTAATATTTATATATATTTTAGGGTGGGATTCCTATTTTGAAGCACTCGGACTCATTGTTGATGGTAAGGTCGACATTGCGAAGGGAATGGTTGAGAATTTATCATTTGAAATCAACGTTGGATTGCACTTATACTTTAAATTATTAAACTAATGTATCTTAGCATTATGGTATGATTTTAAATGCTAACAGAACTTATTATCTTTGTCGATCACAACCACCATTTCTTACAGATATGGCATTAAGCGTATATGATAAAATAAGCCATAGGCCGGATTCATTAGACTTCCTTAAAAGGGCATTTCAGTCTGCCATTAAAGAATACTATACCGTCTGGACTTCTTCTCCAAGAATCGATCCAGTGACAGGTCTTTCAAGATATAGACCTACAGGCTTAGGAATTCCTCCGGAAACAGAAGCTAGTCACTTTATGTATATTTTAGAACCTTATATAAAAAAATATAAAATGACATATGAAGAATTTCAATACGCATATAATTATCAAAAAATACATGAGCCGGAATTAGATGAATATTTTCTACATGATAGAGCTGTGCGTGAAAGTGGTCATGATACATCATCTAGACTAGAAAAAAATTGTGCTAACCTAGCTACTATTGATTTAAATTCGCTTTTATATAAATATGAAACAGATATTGCAGATGTTATAAAAAAATATTTTAATGACAGATTCGTTATGCCAGATGGGAAAATTGAGTCAAGTGCTATCTGGGTACGACGAGCTGCAAAAAGACGGGCAGCAATTGATAAATATTTATGGAATGAAGAAAAAGGTCTTTATTTTGATTATGAAACTGTAAATAATTTCCAAAGTGCATATGAAAGTGCTACTGCATTTTGGGCTTTATGGGCCGGTTGTTCTAATCCTAAACAAGCTGCTATGTTAATCGAGAAAAATTTCAAAAAATTTGAATGTTTAGGTGGATTAGTTGCGGGTACGAAACAATCAAAAGAACGCATTCAGTCGAAAAAATCAAATCGTCAATGGGATTATCCATATGGGTATATAAAAAGTTTTGCTTAATTTTTTTTAATATTTTTAGTTGGGCTCCTCAACAAATACTTGCTTGGAAAGGATTGATGAGATATGGCTACGAGAACGAAGCGAAAAGAATAATTTATCGCTGGCTTTATACCGTTACTAAATCATTTGTTGACTTTAATGGTGTAGTTGTTGAAAAATACAATATTACCAATGAAGTGGATCCTCATAGAGTTAATGCAGAATATGGTAATCAAGGTATTGATATAAAAGGCGTAGCTAGAGAAGGATTTGGCTGGGTAAATGCTAGCTTTAGTATTGGATTGACCTATTGTGACACACATATGATACGTGCCCTGGGAATGTGTACGCATCCAAATATTTTTTTTAAAAATGAAAAATATCCAGATAAATTTAAATAGCAATTGTTGATATTTTACATAACACCGCGATTTAACCCAAGTTATTAATATATAGCAGCGTTATATCTCCTATAGATTAAGGTTTACTCTCAAATGTAATATGATATGAACAGCATGACTAGTATTTATTTATAACGTTTTTTATTCTTTTTTCAATTTAATATGTTTAATTATAGAATAATTTCCAAGGCTTATGTATAGCTTTAAGCATTAAAAAAGATAGGCATTTGTATTCTTTAGCCAATTATTTAAGATATTAGAATAGGGTGAAGTTTTTACTACTGTTTATTGCTGTATAATAGATTGCATTAAAACTGATTTCTTTTATAGTGCGATAATTTTGAATATCTAGAGTTTTACTTGATTTGTAAAGCGTCTATATTGTCCTAAAGATCATTAAAAAGTAAATTATATTTATAAATTTAAATATTATGTTTTTGTTGAGATAATTTTATAGATATGTTCAAATTTAAAATAATAATAAAAATAATCATTAAAGGTCAAATCCACCAAAAATATCTAAAAATCAGAGAAAATAGACGACTTTGATCTTTAAATAAACATATTTGAGCTAAAAAAATAATTTTATATATTTGTAATTAAAAATTATTCATAAATTTAATAACAAAAATATTGATGAAAACATATTATTGTACTTATTTATTATGAATTTAAAAGAACTTTAATGTATATTTAAATAATTCTAGGTTCATATAATATAACAATATAAATTTCATTATTTTTTCCAAAAGAAAATCTTACATTTATTTTTTATAATAGAATTTAAAAAAACATCTGATAATAACAATTTAAAAATAAGAAAAGACATACGGTATCTATATATTTATTTATATCTATACTAGATTCTTTTTTCTGGATTAATCAACGAATTTATATAGATCTATCGTAATCATTATTGTTATTTAAAAGGCAAAAGCAGAATTAAATATTAAGAACATATACTACAGATTTATTAAATACAATAAATTTGCATATATATTTGTATTAAGAATATTTTTAAAAAACACAATTTCATTCTTAAAAATATATTAAAGTTTTTATTACAAGAAAAACTAAAGATAGTTTTTGGATCAATTCAATACATTATGTTCTATAAAAATTCTTAAATGACTATTAATTTCAGAAATATTTATTAAAGAAGTGTAAACTCGAGAAATTGTTTTATAAAACTTCTCAGAATTATGATTAAAATATATTTAAGGCTTTTTGAAAAAGATTCTAAACTTTGTTATTTAGACAAAATAGTGCAATAGTATATAATAATGACAATTCTTACAATACAAAAAGAATCTTATTAAATAAAAAAGCAATATTTCATAATAAAATAGAATTTTATATAATCTAAAATTACTGAATTAGTTGCTTAGATAATAACAATGCATAAAAAACCATATATCTAAAAGCGTTGATGTCGATATAAAAATTATCATATTGCAGAAAATAAAAATAAAATACTAAGTATTTTAAAAATTAACAATTATAATTTTTAAATACTCACAATTTATCGATTCATATGATCTTATTTGTAGTAATATATTAAACTGAATATCTCTAAACTGAAATGTTTATAAAAAAAATTATATAATCTATTTATTTATAATATTTTTCTAGACAAAACAAGATTTCACTAATTTCTATATTAACCATTTTTGATTAATTTTATTAGACCGCGCTTCGATTTACATACGAACACATTCAAAAGTTAAATACATGAATAAATTATACAATTTAAATATTTTTATTTATATTTCTTAAGTTTCCAAGCTATTATTTCAAAATAATAAAATTTCACGAAAGCGTTTAAAATATATACTATTAAGCTAATAAAATTCATCATTTGCTTTATATTTTTGTATATGCCTTTATTTAATATGTTTCTTTGGTACATGATAATATTCATTATAATTTAAACGAACACCAAGAAATCTCATTTCACTATCTGACTGATATACAAGATCACCTAAAAGCATAATAAGATGAGTATGAAACTCTTTTGCAAGATTATTTAATTTTTCAATAATAAATCCCGAATCATCAATTATTTTAGTATTTAATGAATCTGAATTCAAATCTTTAAGATTTATATGATCCTATAAATATCAATTATATTTCCATAAAAATAAATATTTATACTTTTGTTTCTGATTTCGTTTTAAATGTCGTATGATATCTTTGAATATATTCTGTTAGAGAATAAGTATAAAAATGGTCCTAAAATTTTTAGAAAAAAAACTCCCAAAAATATTATTATCAAACCAAAGTTTCTTTAAAAAATAATATAATTTTCAGAATTTCATGTAATTGAGATAAAAGCGTGCCTTCTTTTCCTATTTTTCCAGACCCTAGTAAGCCTTTATGTGTTATGTTCATTGTATATTGCGCATGAGCTTCAATTAATGTATCAAGTGTGCAATCAGACTTTGAGATAGAAGAATAAAACACGTCCCAGGATGATTCAATAACCTTTATCAATCAATTTTAAAAAAATTAAAGGTCTTAAAAACCTCAAATAAAATATAATATTGAAGCTGACATATAAAATGAATCATTTCTGCATTTGTACACCTTGCTTTCTGCCATTGTTTATATAAAGGCCCTTGCATTACTCTCAATATTTCTCGCTCGCCTGTTGTACTTTTTTTCCATGAATTACTAAGTGCAAATTCCACTCTTTTTAACCTCCAAAGAAAATTGAACACTTTAAGATATTGTCTAGTACAGCGGGGAGTAACAATTACATCAACAGGAGAATCTACTTTATATTCCAAAGTAAATATATCCCATCCAATTTCACCATGTGACCTTTCAAGCATACGTGCATCTAATCGTCTAATTATATCCGGGGAATCAAATTGGGCATTTGATTCTCTTATAGCAGATTCTAAAGTAGCAGTAAGATTATGCCGATATAACATATTTGCAGGCTTGTCTAAAGTTAAACTTTGAAACCATTAACTTAAATTCGTATTTTTTAAAAAAGGAAGATCACCTTAAAGACTCCATAAGAAAAGCAATAAAATCCCCTTGCCCTAATAAAAGATATTTCTTTAAAGCATGTAAGTGATCGAAAAAAGAAAATCTTGTGGACATTAATCCTATTAGTCGAGAAGAAGTAGTCAAATAAGCTGCATCAATTGAACGCTCGAGAAAATCTATATCGCCATAAATCAAATCTAGTTCTTATCAACAATATGAAAAAATTAATAGAAAAAAAGTAACCTTTCATTGAAGCTTTACTATGTTGTTGTACCCATTCATCATCATCACAGCCATGTCGTATAAAATTTAAGCTTTTTCCAATTAAAAAAACTTTCTTAGCTAAATTTTCAGATATAAAATTTGGAAGCATATTTAAATCTAATGTATATTTTCCCTCCCAGACAATGTTAATAGAACTTTCTAATTTCAATTTAGTATCAATTCCTTTATCAACAACAAAAAATTCTTGAAAAGGATCCAAAAGTTCTCCATCATAAATCCATTTTATAAGCATATCATAAAATGGTTTCGTCAAAGATTCTATAAGTTTTTCAGAAAATTCATGAACAAAAGGGTCTCCATGAGAAGAAAATTCAAGAATACAATTAATAAGCTGTCCTCCTTTTAAATCTAAACAATTCAATATATTTCTCATATTGATCAAAATATAATACTTTTACAATTTTCTACCATCAATGCCATTAATCGAAGTGCCATAGAGGCATCTCTTGTCCATATAATAATTCTTTTTAAAGTTACAGAACGCATTTTTAATTGATCATCAGACAATAATAAATCCTTGCGAATTTCTACTTCCAGAGCAGATACTAGGTTTAAATATGCAGACAATTCCTGATCTAAGCATGAAAAAAAACTTTGTTTAATAAGTCCAGTACTCTTTTTTATATTATGAGAAAATAAAATAAAAGTGGAAAGTTGTTTATAAAGCAGTCCAAGCTCAACAATATGGGATAACAAAGAAGCGATAGTGAATGGAAGTTTTGGTGATATAGTCGCGGATCCATTAGTAGAAAATCTAACACTTGATGAACTTATTCCCTGTAAAATAAAAGAAATATCCTTCAGAAGTATAGACTCAGATGCATCTAAAATAATTTATTAAGCAATATATCAATATTTCAAAAAATATACCATAATTCTGAGACGCAATTAGAGGCGTTTTTAAAAGAAGAGACCTAGGAGTTGAATTTTTAGGTCTTGAACTAGTTAAAGCTGTATTAAAACTAGACGACAATGCTGAAAAAAAGCTTTCAGAGTCTGTACTGTCTTCATAAAAATTCATGCGAGAAAAAGAATTTTTAACATTCTTAAAAAATTAATCCAAAAACATATTTAACAAAATTCCAAACCTGCGCTTTTCCTGATATATAAGCTAAATCACAAATACTATAAAGAAACTGCAGAATTTCAGCTTTTTTTTCCAAAATATCCTAAAATAAGGACAAAATTATATAAAATTTTTAAACTCTTACTTGACACAGAAGTCGAGAAAATAAGTTAATAAATTTGATTGCATTATCAGATGTCGAATCCTCACGAAGTACTGTATTCTTATAAGAAAAACCATTTTAATATTGACGAAGTTCTATACATTTTTTTTTTATAGCATCTGAAACTATAACAATATCATAATTTTTAGAAGTATAAATTGAGCTACGGAAAAATTGTTAAAAATAGGAAATATAAAATCAATGAACTAACGCATCCAAGATTTTTTCACATATTAATAAAATATTCTCAAAATTCTCTAAAGATTGCAGATCATCTGGTTGTTTAGAAACATAATAAGAAACCAATCGGTATAATGCATTTGCTTTTCTAGTATTTGACATAAAAATTACATAAAATCATCAAGCACGCTACACGCTACCAGATGATACTAGTTATTCAAGAATATATTTATAATATAACCTTATTAATAAGATATTTAAATATGAATTCATGTTTCCGCAGTATATAATTTTATTTAAAAATACGTTTAATATAAAAAAGACAAATAAAATAAAAACATCATTAATAATTTAATGATGTTTTTATTATTAAATTATACAAAATATTAGGAAATATTTTATGTTTTTATATTTTTATTAATTTTCTAAAATTCAAAAACAAATTAAATTTTATTAATATCATTAATTTCTATAAAATCTGAAATAAATTCTATATTTTCTATCATAAATTTAAAAAATGTATACTTTTTCTAAATATTCATATTTAAGTAATTTTGGCAATTTATTTGATCAATATTACAAAATCTGTATATAGTTTGCTTTTACAAGACATATTTTATAAGATAAATTTAAATTATTTTTTAAAAACATAGAACTAATTCATAATAAAATTCTCTAGTATTATAATAAAAATATATTTCAATAATTCGATTTGGATAAAACTAATTAAAACAATCATTATAAGGACAAATTACTAGTATTATCTAAAAATCTACTCAAAATTAAAAAAATTAAGAAATATCATTTTTAATTGCATCATATATAAATATTTTTATAATATAAAATATTAGATACTTTTAGATAATCAATATTATAAGTATTATTTATCTTCAAAAAATAAAGACAATAAAAAATATAGCATCATTAATCTTTCTCAGCAATAGATTGTAGCCGTTCATCAATTTCATCTGTAGTTAAAACTCTAAAAATATTTGAAGACTTCAGACTTCCCTTAGGAGATGCACCAACAACACCGATTTCAATTTCAGTAGCTTTTAAATCTATATTTAAAACAGAAGATAGTGTGTTAATAGCTAACTAAAAATAGAATTAAATAAGTTAATAATTGATATTTAAAAAATACTACCTCAGTGATATCTATCCATGACCCTTCAAATCCATCTGACTTGAGCTTTTTTTCGAGATAATTAATAGCTTCTTGCTTTTTTGGACCAGATGCAGTAGCCTTGTATCCAGCATAATATCCAGCAAGATCACACTTAAATATTTGCGGCCCTTTCTCCTCGTCTATAGCAATAAATATAGATGCTAAATTATGAGATGGAATTAATATTTAAATGAAAAATTCCTACAAATTCCAAGTGGACGCATTGCAGCTCTTTGGGTACAAACTTGGTTAATATTCGCAATACGTTTTGCCAAAACATCAACTGGAATTTCATATCCATATTTATATTTAAAGTCAGCTGCTTCAACACGAGCCCTATTAACAGATGCACGCGCATCCGCTACAAATATTAAAGATAATTTTTTAAAAAAGAAAAAGAAATTACCTATTTGGCCTGTTACAAGACACCCAATATTCTCCGTAATACGAAAAATATAACTGACACTATCTTGATCAATAAGTTTATCCTATATTTATTATAAGATAGAATAAATTCAAAACTATGTTATACAGGAACTTTTTTTTGAGAAATAAAAACAACCGAATCTTTTCCTTTTATTGCCACTGATGTAATTCCTGTGGAATTAACTGACTTAAAGGCATATTCTAATATATATCAAGTACATTACACTGAAAACAATGATCTTACCCACTTGATATAACCGGCCTACAATATTATTAGATATATAATAAAAAAAAACTACTAACCTTCTGGAGAAAAAATCGTAATATGCCTATCATATCCTGTGCTAGATCCTATCTATTTTAGCAACTATTAACTGATTTTTTTATTTCTACCCCTTGACATTTTATGAATACGCACAATTCTGATCGAGGGCTGAAATCTTTAAAATACCCAGCCCTTGTATCAAATTGTAACATAAAAAAAGATGTCTAGACCCATTTACGCGTTTCTTCCATCAAGAAAATCTACATCAATTAAGAGAAAAAGATTATTGGAGCCCGAATTGGCTAATAAACGAATAAATGTTGATCAAAATCATAAAATTCGCGTACCAATAAAAAATCAAAATGAAAATGTACATCAACAAGATACATCAATTATTAAAATATTTTCAGCACTTGATCAGGCTCTTGTTTATCATCATGCAATAAGTTATGGAGAGGGAACAGCATCTTTTCATTATCTTCAACATTCTCTTGAAACGCAGGCTAAAAAATCTTTTACATTAGAATCTCTTGAAAGAATTGTAAGCATTTGGCCGGAGTCATTTAAAATATCACCAACAATAATATTATTTAATGGTAAACGGATAGGAAGTCTTTCAATCGATTTTCCTACAAAGGAATTTAACTTAGCTGCTCGTTTAAAACAATTTCGTTCTCGTCTCGAATTATCGCAATCAATTACAACAGATCTTAAAAAAATTATTCCAAAAAATGTTTCTTCAAACACTATCATTTGTCTACCAGAAAAAAAAAAACAAGCAATTCAAGAACTTGAAAAAAAAACTACGTCTACTTCTGATACATCAATTGATTCTAATAAAAGTTTAAAATATCGTCAAACTTCTTTGTTGGAACGGGTAAGTATATACATGTTTTTATATGTTTTCATTAAATCAATATAAAGATTCGATTTAAGCATACTCGGAATACACACACATCTCCTGCTTTTGAACAACTTAATTCTCTCCAAAAATTATCAAATATTGTCGAATGTTTATTTGTGTATGTCCCTATGCGTTCTGTTACTGATTTCTCATATTTTAAGTTTATTAGCAACTTATCCTCGTAAATCTGCATTTTCTATGTCTGAAGTAGTTACAGTACTAACATCATCTCTCAAACATCCCTTATCTATTAGTATGCATTATAATTTTATTCTTCATATCTAATAGAATTTAGCTGAAATACATAAATTACTTGCTGTTTTAGTAAATACATTACCTAAATTCTGTCAGATTATTAAAATTAGCGATACGCTTTCTGCCATAAAATTTTATCGAAATTATAAACTAGCAGAGATAAAAAAGATCATTGAGTTAAAGCAAATAGAGCTTCAGGTATGAGTTTATTATTGTTTTAAAAAAGAAAGTTCCTTTATGATTATATATTATAAAAGTTTTTTTCACTATGTATAATTGTATTAACATTATTTATTGTATGAATATTATTTATTTATAATAAAAAATTTACAAAAAACATACTAAAAAACATTCTATTAAATATAAAAATTATTTGTGTTCAATATATTCTTTAATTTTATCCATTTTTATATTTACTTGGTCGACCAAATTATGGACTTTCTTTTCATATTTTTTTTCCGCATTATTAATTTGTTTTTTCCCAGTACGATATGCGTCTTTTACATGAGACGTAATATTATCATAGGCGTCTCCTGCTTTTTTTTCTAACTGTTCAAATTTTCCCTGAGGTACCTTTACATTATTATCTAAATCATAAAAATATAGATTAAGCTTTATTTTTAAAAAAATTAAACTTACAATGATACATATAATAATAAACAGCGGCAGCAGACCCAACTCCTACAAGCAACATAGAAAGCGCTTTTCTATTAGGTGGTATAGAGAATAATGATGCCATTTTAAAAATTTATCATTTAAATTGTCAATAATATATATTTATTAAAATATATAAATTATATTCAACTTATGAAATGCCATGTTTTTTTATAGTTCCATATTTGAAGTATATTTTCCGAAAAAATATCTAAAATATCTTTTTTAATAAAATATTATTTGATATAGTAAACGATAAGATAAATCCGATATTTTTTTTAAAAATAGATATTTATCAAAAAATATATAAATATTTTATCAATAAAATACACACATATATATATATTAAACTGAATAAATTAAAACTTTTTTATAAAAACAAAATATAGAAATTATGACCCTTGATTTCCATGAAAAAGCATTTCAAGCATTCCATTACATGAACAAGCATCTTTACAATACTCAATTTGACGAGAAACATGTTTTGATAAACGTAACAAAAGACCTTGGATTAAGATAGAATGACCTAATGCAGCTCCATATATATCTACAATAAAACAAGTTTTTATTTAATAAAAAACATTAAAAATACCAATAATTAACATAAGAACTTCGATAATTATAAATACATATCGAGGATTTGGCAAATAACGAATAAGCCAACGTAAAATAGGTTCCAATGATACATCATCGCGGTTTTGTAAAGCTTGGTATAGTCCCGATCGATGCTTTAATTCATTAATTACAGTAAAAGTAGCAAGAGGTGATTTCTAGAATTTAGTTAGCCAAAAAGTAAAAAAATCATCAAATCTACATTTTCTAAAACCAAATCCAACGCATCTGCATAATGAAAAGATTTCAATGCCTTATCATATGGACGAAGAGCTTTTCTTTTCTTTTCTACAATTAAATTCCCATAATTCTGATTATTATTTTCATGAATCATTTCAGTATAAGACTGCTTCAATTTATTCCGATTTTGTGGAACAGATTTCGCTATCTGACGTGATCGAATAGAAAACAAACCCGATATCATTCCAACAGCAAGATGTTTATTATCCGGCTAAATTAAGATTTAGATTCAGTTTTAATAAATAAATTTACAAATACAGATAATCCCAGAGATAATATTGGCGCTGGATATTTAATATCATGCACGTTTTCCCAATCTTTGATATCATATATTTTTACATGACCATCAAGCCCTCCACTAAGAATCCTAGAATTTTCATTATTTTTAGAAAGACATATAACACTTTTTTGGTGATTCCGTATAATTTTTAAAGGCATATTTTTGCCTGATATCATATCCCAAACCTTAATAACCGGTCCACCCGCACTAAGAATTATTGAACCATCTTTTAATGACAAAACAGCATCCACACTTTTTCCATGATTTAAATTTTTTATTTCATTTTTTTTTTCAGGCATTCTTATGTCCCATAAACGAACTGTACCATCATAGCAACCACTTAAAACAACATGAGACATAGAAAGAAAATCAGCTGCTCTTATATAATCATTATTTCCTTGAAGTATACACGTTTCTGTTGATGTTGGTAGATCCCATATACGAATTGTTTTGTCATCAGATGCAGAAAGAAATGTTGTAAGACAATAAGGAGAAAATTTTGCTACATGAACAGGAAGTTTATGAGAATAAAGACTTCGTAAAATAGAACGAGATGAGATATCAAATAACTAAAAAAATATTAAAATCTATTAAACCATCAAAATCTAATAGATACCTGAACAGTTCCCGTATTATCGCTGGCAATCAAAAGTTTTCCGTCTGCTCGTATTTCCCCAGAATATGCAACATCTTTGAATCTAGAAATCGTTTTTTTTACTGTTCGTGTTTGAGAAGAATAAATCTGTATACGTGCTGAACTCGTAACTGCAAAGTCATGAGGTTCTTTGCAACAAAAATGAATATGCGAAATAGATGCAATTTCTTTAATTGTAACTTTTGACTATTAAATTATCAATTCCATACAAAAATATATTCACAATTATAAAATAAATTATTACCTTAAATCCTTGCCAATACTTTTGTTCAGGAGTGACTGGTAATGGTCCAGCTGAAAATCTATTAGGTATAAGTCGTGGAGCAGGTGCAGCCATAAATTAATTATTTTTTCTTAAAGAAAGGATTGTAAAATAATCGATTTGTATTTCAATAAACCAAAGATTTTAAACATTATTCTTTGATAAGTACACTCCCTATGTAACTTTTCCTTAAAATAACACATTAAATAAATTGTTTATATTTAACACTCAATATAAAGATAAAAAAATTAAATAAATAAAACTTTAATACAATACTAAAGAAATTACACATATATATTAGATAAAACATTTTTTACAATATCCTTTTAATATTATCGTTAAAAAATATTTACTTTGATTAAAATTATATATTTAAAGCAATATTAATAAAAACATAATGAAAACTGTAAATTTCCTATAAAAAACGCAATCCGCTCTCCCGGAATCGAACCGGGGACCACTCGGTATCTTTAATACTTCATTTTCCCAAGAAATACAAATTCAACATTTACAGCCGAGGGCCATAACCAACTAGACCAAGAGCGGGAATCTGAAATGCTATGAAAATATGTTCATTATATATTATTAATTAATTTTTAATCTTAATTTATATAAAATTTATTAATGATATAGTAAAATCTATACCAGAGACTTTTTTATCAAAAAATAAAGCAAATTTTGTTAAAATGCCTTATATCTTTAAATTTTAGAGTTAAATATAATTTAATATACTTTTCTCGTTTTTTTTAACCCTATCAAAATCATTTGAAATTTGTTGCTTTTTTTTCAACATCTTAAGTGGAAGCATTAAAGAAAATAATGTCATTGCTGGAAGAGCCGCTTCCTCCTACATTACAAAATATTCTTGACCAGCGATCACTAAAATGGATTTTTGTTGGTTAATACTTTGCCATATTTTTTTTCTTACATTATGATTAATATTAATAGGCGGAAAAGGAGGAGTTGGGAAGACAACTACATCTTGTTCACTTGCTATTCAATTATCTAGGGTTCGAGAATCAGTTCTTTTAATTTCTACAGATCCTGCACATAATTTATCTGATGCTTTTGGTCAAAAATTTGGTAAAGATGCATGTAAAGTAAATGGATTCCATAATCTTTCTGCTATGGTTTTCATAGTTGGTTTTCATCTAATCAGAACTCATATATTTAGGAAATTGATCCCAGTTCTTCAATTCAAGAAATGATTGAACAATGTATTTTTATAAAAACACGTACGTTCTTACTCATCTACTTTTTAGCTGAGCTACAGCCTAATAATCCTATTTCTGGTATGATGCAAGATTTAGCATTTTCTATTCCAGGTGTTGATGAGGCTATGGGATTTGCTGAGATTATGAAACAAGTAAAATCTATGGAATATTCTGTTTGTGTTTTTGATACAGCGCCAACTGGACATACTTTGCGTTTTTTATCTTTCCCTACAGTTCTTGAAAAAGCTCTTACTAAGATTTCGGGTCTCGGTTCACGATTTGGTCCTATGTTTAACCAAATGAGTAGCATTATGGGTCTTAATGCCAATCAAGATGAAATGTTTAAAAAGCTTGATCAAATGCGGACAACAATTGTAGAAGTAAATAATCAATTTAGGGATTCAGAACTCACCACATTTGTTTCTGTATGTATAAGTGAGTTTTTAAGTTTATACGGTAAAAAATCTGAAAGATTTATACACTATTTAAGTATGTAGAAATGGAACGTATGATCCAAGAGCTCACATCATATGAGATTGATACACATAATATTGTTGTGAATCAGCTTTTGTTAAATATCGAAGGTGAATCATTTATTGGAGTTTAAATATTTAGAATCTATTTTAATCAAGCTAGGTTCTGATTGCAAACAATGTCTTTCACGGCATAAAATACAGCAGAAATATCTAGATCAAATTATAGAGCTTTATGAAGACTTTCATATAGTTAAACTCCCTCAAATCTCTACAGAAGTTAGAGGCGTTGAGGCTCTTAAAAATTTTTCAGAAATGCTTATTAAACCGTATCAAGTAAGTTAATGAATACAGTATATATACCAGTTATATGTTGGGCATTTCTAAATACAATATGACTCATAACTTTATTATTCACAAGTAATTAAAAATAAGTTTAACATATATATTAATTCAAATTACTGTTAATATATATTCAATTTTTTGTATAGAAGACTTTCGTATACACTCAATATCTCATTGAACTCATTCTATGGTGTACAAAATTACGAAAACCTTTATATCACTATTTTTTTTTTCTCTTATCATTCACTGATAATATTTTTCCTGTATCTATAAAATATAAACCCTCTCTATCCTTCATGTGGTCGTTTAAGTCCTTGTTTATGAGTAGATTCTGAATTTATTGAATAACTTTTAGAAGACAAAAACTGAAGCTCTTTTTTTTCTATTGAATTTAACGATAAATTATTTTCAGTACTGGATGTTAGCGGTTTTGAATAGTATGGCGGAGGAGGGGGGACTTGTATAGGATATAGTTCTTTTGATACCAATTTATCATTGAAAGAGTACGATTGATTAACAGATGAATCTAATATTTCCTTAGAAACTTCAGAGCCTTTAGGTATTTGAGTTATGAATTCCAAAGAAGTAGATGTGTTAGTTATATATTGTTTATTTTCCGTAGAAAATTCATTTAATGATGTATGCATTTTTTCATTAGTATTGGGTAGTAAAAAAGTAAGATTTTTAAAAATATTAGAAATAAAATTTTTATGATTTTGATGTTTCTGAAGTTGTTGGTCTAATGCGACAATTAACGCATTTGCAATAGCAGCAGCATTTTGAGGAATTTTAGCATGAGGACCAAGTTGAGTTATAATATATCTTTGCAAAAAAACAATTGCTTGAACAACTATTTTTATATATAACTATGTTTTCAATTATATATGTGTCTTTACTTACTTTGTATTTTATTAGAATCATTACTATCGTTAACAGTATTAAAATATTCGGGATTTAATGCTAACTGACCATCCTGCATAATAGCAATAGGAATTGAATCTGCTGTAGACCTCGAAGCTCCATCTGCCATAATGGAAGGTGTAGTTAAATGTTGATATGAAGAAATTATGCTTTTTCGATTTCGTTTATAAATACCATCCTCAAATTGACATTGATATTCAGAATTTATCATCCAAAAGGAACCCTTTCCAGGCTCGTCATCCCTTCTAGATACTTTCTTAAATGCTTTATTAAGAGATAAACTATGTCGAATAGAATTCTGCCAACCATTTTGGGCATATTTATAATATTTGTATGTATCAGTAATCCATTCATAAATATCAGAGAGTGTCATTTTTTTAGAAGGCGACGATAGAATAGCCTGTGCAATCAATGATGCATAGGATAAATTTGGCTTACTATGCTCCTTCATAGAAACATTAAATGATTCAGCATGAGAAAGCAAAGATTCATCATGAAAAGTACTGTTGACAGCACTCAATGTCTCATTATTCAAAATCCTTGAAGATATTGGTAGGATATCTGGCTCATCCGTTTTAATAAGACTTAGTTCCAAATTTATATTGGGATATGTTACAAGAGAGCGCTCAGTTGAAACACTATTTGAAAGCAAAGAGATATCCTGAGAAAATTCTGATTTTTCAATCCTTTGATTTTCTCTAATATCTCTGTTTTCAGTATTCTCTTTCTCTGTAGATTTTGGAAGTAAAAATGTAAAAAGTACTTTACCAATTTGAATTTTTGTCCTATATATATTTAAAAAAAGACAAAATATAAATAAAGAAAAAATACTTATCATATAAGGGAATAGTTTGTCCACATTCTACAAATTCTTCATTTATAAAAGCTCCATTCTTCCCCATTACAAAAATTTCAAACCGTTGAGAAGTAAAATCATAAAATAACTTTGCATGCTGACGAGAAATAGCTTTTGTGGATCCAATATGAACATCAACCTGATCCAGTTTATTTACCTTGCGTCCTATAATAACCTGTAATGTTTGAATATAAAAACTAAACGCATCAAATTCTAGTTTTGCATAAGCTTGTACATTTCGTGATGGTTGAGGCTCTATGATGCCAGTATCTTCATTCTAAAAGACCTTCAAAACATACACTGAATTTAGGAAAAATGTAAACCTTTATCATAATATCTAAGGAATTTTTACTTTGCATTTCAAATGTATTTATAGTCATTTTTCCTGCTTCTTTCTAAAAAAAATATATGCAGAAATACATCCAAAAAAATAAGGTAAAACGACAGGAAACAACCATTGTAGTATTTTAATTTTATTATTTTTCTGCTTGTTTTTTAAATAGTTTTATAAAAATATCACGTATAAATTAAACGGCTCGATTACACTGAGATTGTAAAATAGAAAAATTATAAAAAGTTAGTTTTAACAAATATATCAAAATTATATATATATTATCAGCATGTCATTCTTCTCTCTTTAAATAAAGTAGATATATATTCTTAAGGCTTGTTTATTAGTACTAAAAGATTTAATACTAATATTTCTATAGACATAATTATATTTATATGTCATGCAGGAAGATGTAATTCGTGGGCCTATTGCCTCTAATATTGCCCTTCTTTCAGACATTTACTCAGATGTATCTCTTTTTTGTGGAAAAAAAGTTCGACTTTTAGGATGGTAATATTAAAAAATATTATTTTTAATTTTCGATTTATTTATATTTAGTGTTTCAGATTATGATCCAGTATCTTCAAGAGCTCTTATTTTCCACTCAACTTATGCGATTGAAGTGGATGTTTCATTTCTTCTCTCCAATTTACGATTTGATATTGGTGACTGGGTTTTTGTTATAGGAATAATTGAACAAGTATCTATTAATATGTCATGGAAACGCTTTTCCCTCTCGAAACGTATGTGCATAATAGAGGGCTATATTTTAAAAGCTATTCTTTTTTGGAGTGCAGGAAACATTGATGTTGATAAATATGAAAGAGTTGTAAGAAAACGATTAGAAAATTGATTATATAATAATTATATGTAATATGGATATGTTGTATTTTTAATAATTATATGTTGTATTAATATAATATATGTCTATTTATCGTTAAAAGATAATTTCATTCATGAATATTAATCGACTAAAAAAAATTAATCCTGATGATTGGGCATATTTCTCAGAAGGAAACCGTAATATTATATTTAAATATACGGGAAATGATTCTTTTTTTGTAAATTATTCGAAAAGAAATATTATGAATTATTAATTTTTAAAGATAAATAAAGTTTTGAGAATAAAAAAGATGCACCATCCAGTTTCTACACTAGAAAATATAAATTTCATACAAAGGGTTGTGACTCCCCTCTTTCATGAGCCTTTCGACCGTTATATATTAACTATTGAACCTATTGTATTGGAAAACGTCTCATTAAAAATTTTTAATATTTATCTTACTCAAAAAAACAAAAGAAAAAAAAAATACGAAAATACTTTATTAGACATTAACGAGACACACGCAATTTTATTAAGAGATTTATCTTCAGATTTTCCAAAAAGTACAATAGAATTTAAAGTTTGTTCTATCCTATTGTTTTACACATAATTTTAAAATATTAGCCAAAATGGTTAACTCAATCAATGTTAGCACCAAATGGTTGGAAATCATGTAGAACATGTGCTCTCAGAAGATTTCGTGGAGATCTTACGACAAACGGTATAAGATATTGTCCTTTAGATTTAGCATCAGGAAATAAGGTTAGAATTCAGAAATCCGTAAGAGCTATTTTAATAAAAAATCATATATATAATCAGGTTTGAAGTATAATATATCTTAAAAAAATATTTAAAAGAAAAGAATATAGAAACAAATTTAACCCTTTATTTTCAACATTCACAACTAATTGATCATTTAAAATATTTGCAAACTAGTTCTCCAAGGGCATTAAGCATGACTTTTTGTGATTGTACAATTTATGTTATTTTTTTGCATGAGGAAGTTTTTGATATAAAAATATTGGATTTAGATTGTAAACCAGAAACAAAAGTCGAATATTGGGATAAAACAGAAGGGCAACTAATTAATGAAAATTGGTATTTAGGACGAGGAATGATCGATAATGAAGAACCATGTACACTTTAATTTTTTCGGAAACATAACTAATATATTCATTAAAATATTTTCAATAAAATATTCTATTAGTACTGGGTTTTTATTTAACTATAAAAATAAAAAAAAATCAGTACCATATTATAATATTATCTAATTTATATTATTAAGTCCATAGTTTTAATTCGATTGTTAATATTCTATAATTTATAAATTAAAAAAATTATCTGAAATACTATATATATACATATATTCTACATTTAGCATAAATATGTAGAATAAATGATCAAATTAGAAATATTTATCTATATATTTTAATATTTTAATTTATTAATACATATTTATAAAAAAAAAGAAAGTATTAATTATTCTTAATAGCATTATATTAGAATTAAATTATGAAAACAATGAACCTAAACAAATATTAATTTAAGTATAGATGACACTCTATAACAAATTTATTAAATAAGATTATATATTTAACTAATATTACTAACTCTTTGAATTATGCAGGAGGCAAAAATGCGCCAAACAAAACTGCTTGAACCATACCATATAGAACCCAAACTTTTACCCAATATATAGGTTTATCCTTTTTTTTATCAGATGCGTTATTTAAATAAAAAACATTATCGAACATTTAATAAATAGTTAGCTAACCACCAATATATGCCTGGTAAACAAGAAATCATTCTGGTAAATACTTGAATATGCATCACACATATACATAATATGGTCAATAATAATTGTGCAATATAATAAAGATCTAATTTTCCAGTAAATTTTTGAACTCTATTTTTACTCATTAAAAAATAAGTTCCTGATCTTATAGAAAGATAAATAGAAGGAAATGCTAATATAAAATTCGGAATCTGAGGTACTGTAAAATATTTAAAAAAGCCAATATTCCTATCACATTAGAATATTTCTTTATAAAACAATAAACTTACCAATAATAACTTTGAACAAATGAGTATATAGAAGGAATTCTTTTAAAACACCAATTGCGTTGTTTCTTTTTCCGGCAAAATTTAATATAAGCATGATATTGAATCCAAAAAAAACCAGTACAAACAATTGTACTATAAATTCCAAATTTCACTATTTTAAAAAATAAACAAAATCTTGGGGATTTCAGGAACTTATATATATATACAAATACAGAGTTCAAGAAAAAAATGGACCAAAGAATACCATTGCTTCTAATTGTTGATGCTATACACCATGTTAGTGCTGCTAAAAAATTATAACCCTCTTCAAAAAAAATGAAGCCAAGAAATGTAACAAACGAAAATAAACTTTCGGAATATCCAGCTGAAAGAAATATTCCAGAAGGGGATATGAGATAAAGAAGTGAAGTAACTATTGCCATATCTCGCGACTTATAGATTTTAAAAGTAAGATGGTAAAGAATGAAGATAGAAAAAAAGTGAAATAAATGCGAAATAATAATTGAAACAAGAGCATAGTTATAAAGAGATTTATCTAAAAATATGCTGTCTATATTTATGTTATAAAATGAGGAAATCCACTTTTAGTTGAAAAGAAACCTGTAAATAAGCGAACGAGATAAGGGAACCCTGGACCAAATGCCCATTCTTGTTCAAATAATAGTCCACGATGCGCTAATGTTATGAAATATATGTTATCCCAACGTACTAATGATGTTATGATTCGTTGTAAAATATTTTCGGGTTGTTTCAAAACGAATAAAGTTGAAGTATCATAAACATTTAAAAAAGATGATAAAGTACAAATGAAAATAAAAATTGCTTTATATCCTAAAAAAATTACTGTTAAAACTAATAAATCTCGTAATTTCATAATTATAAATTTTAAAATTCGACGATATTTTTAATTTTAAAAAATGGTAAATATATATTTTCATGATTCTTTACCATGTAAGATGCCTATGAATTTTATATAGTTTTATGTCAAGTTCTAATAAATCCATATAGATTATGACGGAAATTTATCTAAAAAAGAAAGAACAGAAGTAGATATACTTATTGCCGAAGAAGTTCCAGTGGATCAGCCTCTTCATCCATTAGTTTGCAAATATACTGAATGGAATCCATCATCTATGTTAATTAAATCAGAGCTTGAACGTATAGAAAATGGTTATAAACTTGATGCTATTGATTTATCACGTTATACATCTTTTAAAGAGCCTGTAACATCCGATAAAAAATTATGGATCCATGCAATAAATAAAAGTTTAGTTGCATCCGAATTTTTAAAAGGAAGGATCGAAAATCTTCGACTCTTAGAAGAATTTGGAAAAAATTCTTGGCTATTACATGTCAAACAACTTGAACATTATTTACAACAACTAGAGACACATCTTTTAGATTTACAAGATGAAATATCCATATTGAACAAAGAAAGAAAAAAGTTTCAAACAGGAGATATGGGCCTTCAATTGCAGAGATTGGAAAATGAATTTCGTCATTCTATTAGACGTATATTTGATGTAGAGGTTGCTAATTTTCTTTTAGAAAAAGAAATTCATAATTTCCAAAACAAATCATAAAAATGCCTATATATTAAGAATTTAATAAACATCAAACAAATTGATTTCTAAAGCAATAAATTACTGAAAAAACAAATATATTATAATTATATAATTTTAGAAAACATGTATAATATAATTACTATCTTATTTGATTTTATTTGTTCATGAGAAAATTATAGATTATATCTAATAAAAATATATTATTCTAAAGACATGAATATTTATTAATAAAAGCATTTTCATATAAATATATCTCCTATTGTGACATTTATCTAAAAAAATATAAAATAATTAAAATATATTTTTTAATAAAATTTCATCATATATATAGAATATAAAAACAAATTGTAAGAGCTCAATGGTTTATAGTTGATATAATTAAAAAAATATTATTAAAATAAAAATATAAAATTTAACATTTTATTTTAATAAATTCAATAACAAATATTTCAATAAGAAAGCCTTAATTAATAATATGGCTTGGTGGTCTAGTGGTATGATTCGCGCTTAGGGTAATAACCTAAGCATATTTTGCGCGAGGTCCCGGGTTCAATCCCCGGCCAAGCCCTTTTTAGATTTAATATAAAAAATATTAAAACACGTATTTTTCTGTATATTACCTAAAACTCAAATGAATTAGACAATTTAAATAAAAGATATAGGATTAGAGTTTATTTTTATTATAGTTGTTTCAAAAATGAATATCTATACTTTTTTTATAAAACATATAAAAACTTAAATTTATAACAAAATATGAATAATTTAGAGAATTAATTCTATATCAATCTTAATTATAATTTTTACTAAAATCTAAAATACATATAGGTTTAAATATTTTAAAAAGACTATTTAAAATACATATAAACGCGAAACATATAGAATATAAAGAATATTCTAAATAATAGTTTATTAATCAACTGTTTATTTAATAATATTAAAATTTTCTAAAATTTAAAAATTTAATTTTTGTATAATTTTAAATATATAATATATAAAAAACATAAAATTTCTTTTTTTCTGTTATATAATACTATATATCTTTTTTTTATTTTTATTATTCAACATATTTCAAAAGATGGTATTTAACTTTTTTAGAATTTAACAAAAAAATTATGTTCAAATTCAAAAATTAAGAATTTTCAACTAAGCTTAATATCTCCAATATCAGAAAAGGTTATATACAATAAAGATATTTTTTGTTTTTAATCATAAAAAAAAACTCATTATTATAATAAAGTTAAAAAGAAACCTAATAAATTATTTTAAAAAAGGAAATTCGATTTTTCTATAGATTTTTTTACATTTATCATATAATATTATATTTGAATGTTTTTAAATATAATATAGTAGACTTAAAATTAGAATTAAGACTTTTAAAATCATTGATTAAATTAAAAATAATATAAAAAACTGAGAATATATTTGTTAAAATTATAATTTAGGACATAGAGATTGAATTGTTTCCTAAAAATCTGGATAATGATAAAAATAGAACCTACGCATACTTTAGAATTAAAATTATTTATTGAAAATTTTTAAAAAAAATTTATAAATAAAAATTGATAGTTTAAAAAAAAATATTATACACAATAAAAAATTAGAAAAGCATTAAATTTTGTGTTTCGCATAAAGAATAAAAATAAGACAAAAACTAAAAAAAAACTAAAAAACGTAAATGACAAAATTATATATATAATTAATTAAAAAATATAATAAGTAATATAAAAACAAAATTTAAAGATTAAAATATCTGAAAAATAGTAAAAATAAAAAATATGAATCTTATTTCAATTAGTTTGGGAGACAATAACAAATGAAGAAAACATTATATCATCTAAGTAACATAAATACGTAAATACATTGTATCTATATGGAAATATAACTCTAAAATCTAGAATAAGTTCTAATAAAGAAATTCGAAAGAGAAGGAACTAAAAAAAACAAGGGAATGAAAATAAGAGTTCCAGAAATGATAAAGATAATGTTGGGAATGATTGTTATGAGAATGTTCTAAAATGAATGAAAAAAGTGATTAGAACGAAAAAGTGCATATATCCATCGTTTATATATAATATATAAGATATAGAAGAATGATGTATAAATTTTTAATAAAGCATGAAGAATTGGGAACTGAAATTTTGATTATTTTACCCCGCAATTTTACCCCGCGATTTTGCTTTATAGGGTAAAGTCCAAGCTTATCATAAAAGATTAAGGAAATGTATGCTTATCATAAAAAATTAAAATGTATGGTTATTTTGAAAGAATTATTTCAAGATCTACATTTGATTTACCCAGTCATATGCTACTCAGGGACAAGCGATGGGTAGAGGAAGTCGCCCAGAAAGAGGCGGCGATGGCACAGCCGGTTAAGAGGCAAGCAGCAGGACAAGCAGCAGGAAATGATGAGATTAAGGAGGAACAGGTTTTGGGTTTAATTGTGAAAAGTGGTTATAATAATGATAATAAATGCAAGGCAGACCTCAAACAATATTGTGAGGAATTGAAGAAAATAGATGGAAAATTGGAGAGTGTGGATGTCAAAGTTAAGGGACTTTGTGAAAATATAGACAAAAAATGTGGAGATCTGAAAGATAAAGTTAAAACTGAATTGGATGCTTTTAAAACAGAACTTGAAAAAGAATTGAATAACCTAACAGATGAAAAATGTAGAAAATATGAAGAAAAATGTCTATTATTAGAAGAAGCAGATCCAAGTAATCTTGAAGAGAAGTGCGTTAAGTTGAGAGATAGATGTTATGGACGGAGACGTCAAGGAGTGACAAAAGAAATTCTTTTTAGAGCTCTTGAAGGGAAAGTTAATGATACAGATGAATGTAAAAAAAGAATGAAAGAAATTTGTCAAGGATTAAGTGAATATAGTGATGAATTAATATTTTCATGTTTTAATTCAGATAAGACGTGTAATGGGCTTAAAGGGAGTCATCAAGATAGTTGTAAGTCTTTAGAAACGGAACTTAAAGATAATGAATTAATGGAAAAATGCCAAGAATATCTTGAAAAGTGTTATTTTTATGGATCAAGTTGTAAGGATACAAAATGTGATAAAGTCAAGAATAAATGTAAGGGAAAAGGGATTGAATATGAAGGACCAAAATTAGATTTTAGTCCGGTTAAAGAAAAACCAAGATTTCCGGAAAAGATTGAAGTGGAAAATCTTTATAAAAAAGAAGAAGCTAAGGGAATTATTGTTGGAAAACCAAAATATAAGACGTTGCGAGATTTAGCATTATTGTTGATCAAAGAAAGGAATGGAAAAGATGAGGGAGAAAAATGCAAAAAAGCGTTAGAAGATTGTGAATCTTTTAAACACCTAGATTATGGATTAGAAGAATTATGTGGAGATAAAGATAAAGAGGATAGATGCAAAGAATTAGTAGAAGTAGAAGATAGATGTACGAATTTTAAATTAGAACTTTACCTGAAAGGATTGTCTACGGAATTTGAAAAAGATAAAGAATCAGATTATTTTTCATGGGGACAGGTATCAAAATTGGTTAGTAGGGAAGATTGTATAAAGTTTGAATCGGAATGTTTCCATTTAGAAGGTGTATGTACGAATAAAATTGGAAAAGCATGTGAAAATGTAAGAGTAGCATGCTATAAAAAGGGACAAGATAGGGTGTTGAATAGATACTTTCAAGAAGGATTGAAAGGGCTTATTGGTGATTTAGAATTGGTTACTGAGAATCTTGAAAAATGTCAAAAATCGGTAGTAGGTAATTATACAAAACTTAAGGAGGATAGAAGATACTTTACAAAGTGTCATCTACCAACTAAACTATGTTATGAACTTTTAGATGATGTAATTCTTCAATCGGAAGAATTAGAAGTAGTTTTAAATTTGAGAAGAGATTTTCCAAGAAAGGAAGATTGTGTAGAATTGAAGAAGAAGTGCAAAGATCTTGAAAGTGATTCATATTTGAATCATGAGAAATGTGATACACTGAATAGACGATGTGAATATTTAAAAGTTACAGAAGAATTGAGAAAAAGATTATTAAAAAGAGGAGATGATGCATTAAGAACTCAAGGAAATTGTACGGCAGTATTAAAGAAAGAATGTGAGGAATTATCTAGAAGAGGAAAAGAAGATTTTAGTGTTTCATGTGCTTTACGAGAAGAAACATGTAGTTTTATGGTAGAACAAACAGAAAATGAGTGTCTTTTTTTAAAAAATAACATGGACATTGGAAAAATTATAGAAAAAATTGAAAATGGAAAAAGAAATGAAACATTGGTTGAAGAACTCTGCACGTTGTTTGATCCATATTGTCATCAATATATAGAAAATTGTCCAGATAGGTTGAAAAAAACAAACAATGCGGGTAGAAAAGGAGTCTGTTTAGAACTAGAAGAGAAATGCAAGCCATTCTTTGAAAAGTTAAAATTGGAGAATGAGTTGACGCATAAATTGAAAGGTAGTTTAAGCGATGAAACTAAATGTAAAGAAACATTAGGAAAACATTGTACTGAATGGAAAAAAGAAGGGAATCAAACATTGAATAGTCTATGTGAAGATGCTAAGAAAGAAGAACTTTGCAAAAAGTTGGTTAAAAAAGTAAAAGAAAAATGTCCAACCCTAAAAAATAAACTGGATAATGAGAAAGATGAATTAGAGAAGAAGAAAGATGAATACGAAAAGGTGAAACAGGAATCAGAAAAATTTGCGAAGGAAGCTAAGTTAGTATTATCAAGACCTGAACAAAATGGACAAGGTGGAGGATCAAAGGCTCAAGATGGCAGTGTTCCTAAACCAGTGGGACCACCGGTACAGCCACCAGCACCAGCACAACCAACACCAGGAGGCGTACCAGTACCAGCACCAACACTAGCACCGCCAGCACAACCAACATCAGGAGGGGCACCACTACCAGTACCACCAGCAGCACCAGGAGGAACACCAGGAGGGGCACCTGTACCAGTACCACCACCAGCACCAGGAACACCACCAGCAGGGCCAGCAGGGCCATCAGGGCCATCAGGAGGAACACCAGCAGGGCCACCAGCACCAGGAGGATCAACACCAAGTGGAACGACAAACACGAGTAATGTT